AACTGGAATTATGAAGCAATAGATCTGAACTGAAATTATGAGAGTTGGGCATTAATGGAAGTAAGAGCTCAATGTTGTTTTCCAATTTAAGTGCAATTTAAATAGAAGTGAGAGTGTGTTATAAATTTCTGAAAGATATTAAATTTGATAAAAATTGTGACATTGGATAAGGACTAAACATTGAACGAAATAGAACTAACAAATATGAATTCAAGCGTAAGATATGCCTATTACTTGCTCTCCCTCTTTTCAAGCATGCAAAGACAAAATGTTTTGCAAATAATTTTTAGGGAAGTGGAAGTTATGGGAACTTCCATTTTGTCAATTAGTAATGATATTTCTTTAAACAACCTTAGCAGCGTTCTTTGTTTCGTCTAAATAATTGAAATGATTTTTTTTCCATTTCTATTGTATACACTAAGTCATATTATATTGTCGCTAGTTGCAATATGCGTTTGATGATGAGTCTACATTTTGTACGCTATCCTTAGTTTCTTACAGCACATCTTTATAAAAAATAGAATAAAGTAGAAGCTGCTACGAGAGCTGAAATTTATACCAATGTTATCAATAACAAAGACATCTGTTTCTTCCATAGGTGTATTACAATACTGTGGTTCAAGAAAAAGTGATCAGTGAAAGAATGAACAAAGATAATTGTTCTTTTTTTTATGAACTGACAGATGTGTTTACAAGCATTATCTCTTTGAAAGAAAGAAGGAAAAATGGTTAAATTCAAGAAAAGAATATGTAAAAAAAAAGGAGTAGAAAATGGAATACGAGATACATCTTATGGCAAGTATTGATGAAAGTGGTGCAGTGATAAGGAGAGCATCTGATGTGTTCCTCGTTTTGCTGTACAGTGTGCAGGAGCAATTATTGAACCTGCAGTGTTTTTAAATAGGTATATTGATGAATTGAGAAAAGAATATTGTTGTTACACCGAACTGAACTGAAATAAATTTCTCTACTGCGTACCGGAAAAAAAAAATGGAGCAAATGAGCAAAACGTTCTCCTTATTTCTAATGGCACGAAAAAGAATACAATTTTTGATTTGATAACGAAAATATGGAAGAAATCCTGCGATAGTTTATTTATCATATTCAATGGATTAGTTATATATTTTTATGGGAGCTATAAAATTATAAAGTATACATCGCAACTTTTTCAAATATGAATTAAAATTAGATAGATTGAACTTTATCATACTTCATTAAGCATCAATACATGTTAACATAGCTGATGAAGGACATGTTAGCATAATTTTTACATGTGTTAGCACATGTAAAAATTGTGATTTTTTGCAAAAGTGAAATAAATTTTCAGCTACTAAAATTTCCCTGTCTTTTCTAATACACACTACGATGGGAAACCAAAGAAACTTCATACTAAAAAATTGGAACTGATTATCAAATCAATAAAGTGCAGTATCGATCACGGTAAAAAAATGACGGCAGAAACCGGAATTGAATCAACCGGGACAATCAGTTAATCAATCACGGAAACAGGCTTATTTCTCTAAGCAGCATTTAACAGAAATACTTTCGAACTATCACTTTCAAAGGTTAATACATTATCATCACGCGAAATACTAATTGATGTAGAGAGCCAGTATGTGAAGAAATAATTTGTTTATGTGATACAAGATGAAATAAGTGAGTGATAAATGATAAGTAAATGATAGCAAAAAACGAAATTTGACCTTCTAAAAAATGTATTAAAAAATGCTTCATACGGTTTAATATTTTAGCATATGGATAGTCGAATGTAATCATTTAGTGCATCACTATTAATATATACAACCATACATACACATACTCACATATTCACACACACACACACACACACACACACACACAC